CTTTTTCCTTTTAAATAAAATTTTAAAAAAAACCAAAAATATCATACCACAGTGATATATGTGTACTCATTTTTATAGCAGCACAGTTTGTAATAACTAAATCTTGAAGACAACCCAAATATTCATGAATCAAGGAATGGATAAAAAGATGTATTTTTATACAGTGGAGTACTACTCAGCTATAAAGAAAGATAAATTTGAGGCTTTTATAAGTGGATGCAACTAGAGATCTTACAAGTGAAATAAATCACATTTGCATGCATAAACATTGTATTGTCTCCCTAGTGTAAGAAGCTGAAAGAGTAAGATCCAAAAGGTACAATAGATATTGAGAAAGGGAAAGGAACTGCTTAAAAGGAAAGAACACCTAGGATGGAAGGAAGGAAAAAAGAAGGGGAAAATGTATGTTTATATATGGATAAGTTAGCTAAGGTAATTGTATTACTCATGCTATTAGTTCACTGAAAGGAACATTTAGTGCTTATATTGTCTGATCAATTTTGCATGCTTATATCTGGTGATCTGAGCAACTATTTTGAAGACAACAATATGCAGTAAAGCCACTGTTAATTTCCTATCATCTTATTTTAAAGTTCCATATCATTTTTATTGGCTTTTAAATTCTCTTTAAAATAAAAAATACCAGCACCAATCAGCCTAGCCTTGCCTCAATGGCCATGATGTCTACTGTGTAAGACAGGTAAGGTGAGGGTAGGCTGATTGGTGCTGGTATTTTTAATGTCTAATTTTCAAAGCTGATTATTTTCCTGCTAGGTCTTATTTTCAGGGACAAGGGAAGTTCTAGCATTCTTTCTGTCAGATTTTGCTTAAAAGCAGCAGAGACTCCAAAGGTCTAAGTCCTAGAGCATGGCCCATGTCCAGCCCGATAGCAGCAAAGAAGCAAGTGAATGAAAAAGCAACCAACCCATCCCAGCCAGCTGTCTTTCAAGCTCCATCTTTCTTTTCCTGTAATCCTGCTGGTGAGCATTATTGCACATCTATTGAGATGACCCTAGTGTATGATTTTTGGCCGTGGCACTGTTAATGCGATATAATGCATTTCTTGATTTGCATATGTTGAACCATCCTTGCATTCCTGGGATGAGTTCCACTTGGTCATGGTGTATAGTCTCCTTGATGATTTGCTGCAATCTGTTTGCCAGTATCTTACTGAGGATCTTTGCATCTGTGTTCATTAAGGAAATTAGCCTGTAAGCCTGAGGTACAAAGTTAGTTCAAGGCCAGCTCGAACTGTATAGCAAAAAAAAAAAAAAAAAAAAAAGTTCTTGTGGAATTCAGCAGTGAATCCATCAGGTCTGGGCTTTTCTTTGTCTGTAGGCTTTTAATTACATCTTTGATTTCATTGATGGATATTGGTTTACTTAGGATTTTTTTTTAACTTTTTAACGGTACCGGGGATCGAACTCACGACCGCCTGCTTGCAAGGCAAGTGCTTATGCCGCTGAGCTAAATCCCCAGCCCTCAACTTAGAATTTTTATATCTTCTTGCTTCAGCTTTGGTAATTTATATGTATCTAGGAACCTGTCCATTTTTTCTGCATTTTCCATCTTATTAGAATACAATTTTTCAATGTAGATATAGATGATCTTCGGGTTTCTGCAGAGTCCATTGAAATTTCACCCTTTTCTTTCATAATTGTGTGAATTTGAGTCTTTGCTTTCCTTTTTTTTTTTTTTGATAAGATTGAATAACGGTTTGTCAATTTCACTTAATCTTTCAAAGAACCAACTCTTTGGTTCATTTATTCTTTGTATTTAGTGGTGAGCATTATTGGGTCAGGATGACAATCAGACTTCCTGTGATGTATTCCTGGCTTCTCACAAATACAAATTAAATGTCCAGGATGAAGATTTCCATGGGGGACTCTGCACTTGCTGAAGCCGAGCTTTGCCGGGCAGCAAAATGACCCAAGCCATTGTGACTGGTTCCCTGAAGCTCACTTGTAATCTTGAGCCCTTGCCTACAAGCCTGGGATTTTGCCTGCTGCTCTTTGAGGCTGTAACAGTGAAAACCCTCAGCTGGCATTCTCCCTACATCCATTTCATATCCAGGTGACTACCCCCCAAACATCTTTATTGAGATTAAATTCATGTCCTGTGCAATTGACAGTGGGCTCTGTGTAATCTGTAACTCAGTATTGTTCAGAGTTCAGCAACCATCAGCACAATGTTAGAACTACCCCAAAAAGAAACGGCTCCCCTTATTATCACGTATCTGTCACTCCTACAGATGCCAAGATTATCACGAGTGTGGATCAGTAAAGCCCTGCCTTTGTGCTTATATTGTTCTGAACTATGGCTAACAAAATTGGGGGGCTGGAGTAGTTTAGTGGTAGACTGTTTGCCTGGCTGGGTTTAATAGACTTAAAAGAAGAAAAACATCTGTTTGGTCCAAAAGAGCCCCCAGCCTGAAACAGATGCTACTGTCCCCCTCCCACTACCCTGCTTCTTCCCTCAAGGTGGGCAGACAGCAGCACAGTCGACATGCGGCCAAAACTCCCAGTGGAGCACCTCTCCCAGTGACCAGGGCCCGACACACATTGCCACTGTGCGAGCTTCTGACCCACAGAGGTGTCCTGGCTTTTCCCTGCTGCTATTTTGATGCTGGTCCAAAAAAACCACGTGTTACTAGATGGTGACCTGAACGTTGCTTCTGTTCAAAACCAGTTTCTCTTTTCTGCTTAGAGGTGGTATGTGTGTGTTCTTTCTGTCCCTTCCTTCCTTCCTTTTTGTTCTTTCTTTTTTTTTCTCTCTTTCCCCCTGGGTTTTTTTGTTTGTTTGGGGGGTTTTCGTCTGTTTTTTTTTTTTTTTTTAAAACCTGGGGCTTCAGGACCTCTCTACAGACTAAGCCACATCCCCAGCCTTGGGTTTTAAACGCTTCGTTCAGTCACCGAAATATCCATCCAGCAGTTTGAGCTGGGATCTGTGAGTTGTGAAGGTGTGGTGGGTTTCACTTAGTTCTCGCTTACCATTGAAAATTAAATGGGGGACAAGGGAGAAATGGAGCACAATGCAGTGGACAGTTTTAATTCTATGCTGTCTGGACTCTGCACTTGGTGTCCTGTCCTGATAAATCAGGGGCCCAAGAATGCTTAGCTCAGAGGAAATGTAGGGCTGGTCCTGCCGCCTGGGTCTCACGTCTCGAGTCCAGTGTATGGGGACAGAAAGGTTCCCTGCAAAGAACAGTTACCACTGGGCAAGACACTGCCTGCTAGACAATTACCACCACAGTTAAGCCATCTCCGGCTTCTCAGTCCTCTGTGCCTCTCTCCTGACCATGGGCAGAGTGGCTTGTGAACCCTGGCGTGCTATTGAGCCTCAGTTCCTGGGCTATGTATTGTTCTCTCCCTCTGATTGCATTTTCAGACTCCAGGAGCAATCTGCACACTAATTCTTGGTGTATATTAGGAGCTGAATACATGTGTTGACTGTGTTTATTGTGGAAAAAGGGCAAGAATACAGATTTATAGTATAGAAGAATACACAGAATCACACAGAATTCTACATAGAAACCCCTGCCTGTGGGTAAGGCTGTTGAGGTGGTGTGTCCTCGGCTTCCCACATCGTGCTGCCCCCAGTGACTCCCAGGACCATCTCGCTTTGGGCCTTTCTCCTTCATGCCCTATGGCCTCTCCCAGTGCTGACACTGGGTGTCCTTCCGTGGTCGCCCCATGGAGCTGGCATTGTGTATTAATGGACACAGACTCCCCTTGTATGATTCACAAGGTGACAAGATACCTGGTCCTGGCAGCTCAGTTCCTTCCCTAGCAAAAGCAGACTCCTGGGCTGCTAACACCTCAGTAGGAGCTGCCTTCCTGGGCCCTTCCTGTTTGAGGGGAAGATAAAGTATGATCTGAAAAGAGAAGGATAGAGGAGGCCATGGCTGCCTGGCCCCTGCGCATGCCCACAGGGCTCCAGGTGCCCTGCTGGTTTCCTCTGCTCACCTCTTTCCTGGAAATGAGTAAAAGCCCTGTTTAAAAGCCGGAAGTGAGCTTCACTGGCGAGGAGGTGGAGCCCAGTTAGTGCTGGCACCTGCAGGCGTCTGGGGTAATGTAGAGTTTGCAGGAGACACAGTGGGGCTCAGAAGCTTCTGGCTATCAGGTAACAACACAAAGTGGCTTCAGCAGTGCTTCTCTCCTCTGCGCTAAAGAACATGGCTAGGATTTTGTTTGGGTACAGGCTCAGTACTCTGCCTTAGACTCAATAGTCTCCTTCATGTTACAACAAACAAGTCCAAAAAACAGTGGTTGTGTTCTGGAATTCATGCTTCCAGATGGGATAAAAGTCATGGAGGAAGAATATTTATTTATTTATTTATTTTATTTATTTATTTTATTTTTATTATTATTATTTTTTGCGGTATCAGGGATTGAACTCACGACCCCATGCTTGCCAGGCAGGCGCTAATGCCGCTGAGCTAAATTCCTGGCCCCAAAATTAGAATTTATGTGTTATTTTATTATGGTGAAGCTGTTTAATTTGTTTTGCTTGCTTTTGTGTGTGTGTGTGTGTGTGTGTGTGTGTGTGTGTGGTACCAGGGATCAAACTCACAATCTCACGCTTACCAGGCAGGCACTTATGCCACTGAGCCAAATCCCCAGCATGGAGAAAGAATATTAAAAATGAGTTTCTTGTGGGTGGGTGGTGCATACCTAAAGTCCCAGCTACTCAGCAGGCTGAGGCAAAAGACCATCCTGGGGAGCCTAGTGCTGAAATAAAAGACCTGTTTCTCCAGCCTTTCCCCCTTGGTAAGCTACAACTCAGGTGTAAGTCCAGGGTGACAGAGCCGGTCCATCTCAGACAAAGCCTCCTGGGTTAGCCATGGCCACAGAAGACCTGGTCTGATCAACTGCCTAGCCAAGGTGTCCCCAAGATGGTAACCCCAGCCTCTACAATGATGACAAATGTCACAGCAACATTTAAGTATTCAGTAAGGAAACCAGGACAGAAAGGATCTTAAAACAAACCACACAGGAAGCTTGTCACAAGTCTCAAGTTTTTTATTTTCAGAACAGAAATTCATTTTATTTTTAAAAAGAGAAGAAAAAAAACCCCACTGTGATAAATGCCAGTGAGGCGCCACTTCCCTCCTCCTTCCAGGCTCTCTCAGCTAACTCTCTTTTACAAAAACCCACAGCTTGGCACCAAGCGTGCTAACAAGGAAGAATCCGAGCTAGGCATGGTGACACACACCTGTGGTCCCTGCTGCTCAGGAGGCTGAGGCAGGAGGAGTGTGAGGCAGCCCAGGCAATTGAGCAAAAACCTAGCTCACAAAAAGGAGAGGGGAACAAGACTTTAAACAAGGTCTAGTTCTTTTTTAAAACAAGATTCAAGGATGGGGAGGTAGCTCAGTGGCAGAACACTTGCCTTAGTAAATACAAGGTCCTGACACCCATCCATAGCATTTCAAAAAATAAAGTGGAGAAGGTTTTGGGGGTTCAGATGAAAAACCTGCTCCCCCGTCACCATTTCATGCTCAAATGTTAGGAGCAGGTCCCAATCTGAGCCCAGGCTTCTTTACTATAAACCCTGCTGTGGGCACAGGTCTCCAGGAGACTGCACATCATCATACCCCTGGGGGATACCCACGTGGACCCCTGCACTAAGGATACCCTAGAAAGCAAGGAAAGTGAGCTTCAGGGGCCATTGCTTATTATGAGTGGGCCAAGGATAATGAATGACAGGACCCAAGGAAATGCACCAGAAGGAAGGAATCAGCATCCTGAACACAGTTATGGTACCAAATGTGTACAAAAGGATGCTCAGGTGGAGCTGGGGTCTCTTGCCTGGATGTGAACAGGCCTGGCCCCTGCCAAACTAGGCCATGTTGCCATCCATCTCCTGACGTACCAGGGAAGTGGCAGCTCACTGGAACCTATCACAACCTCATTCAAAACCGGACAGCACTCAGAGGTCACAGCCAGCAGTCACTCGGCAGCCAGGTGGCCATCAAAACAGTAGAAAGAGGGTGGGTTGGGGGCCAGCCAATGCCAGCCATGGCTCAGAAATAATGTCCTTTCACAGTCACTGAGATTAAGTAGCAGAAACACAGCAGAACTGGAGAGAAGGGAACAGTGACAGCAGCCATCGTCCCCACCCGGGGCCTGGGCCTCAAACCTTGCATCCAACAGCAGAGAAGAGGAGCCAGTAAGGGGAAGGAGACGTGGCAGAAATCCAGCCCACCAGTGCTGGCCGAGGAGCGCAGAGTGCACTGACTGTAAACATCTCCCCACCAGCACCCACTCTGAGGGCCAGGTGGGCTGCAGGCCCTCAGGTCTCCCTCAGCCCCTCAGCTGTTTCTGCCTGAATGATGTCTTCTGCCCACAAACCCCTAGACTCTTGAAAGAGAGGGCCCCAGCGGCCCTCAGTTCTTGGAGAACCCAGCAAGACCAAAAGAGGGGTGGCCACTGGCCCAGCTGCTGAGTTAGGGGCCAGTAACTGGGCACTTTGGGCCCTTCCTTGTGCTCAGGGCTCTTGGGAAGGTTGGTGGCAGGGCAACAGAGACAGGCTTGGCCATCCACCTGGCCAGGTGCCTTCTCACTCCCAGCCTGAGGCCTCAGACACTCCCAGAACAAAATGGGGAACAGACCACAGGGGGATCGTGGCTGGTTCCTCTCCTCTCTACCTTTACCACTTTTTACAGATGATCACGGTTTTCAAAAACTCTAAACTAAATCAGTGCTAGAACTGAAAGGTAACTGACACCCAGAAAGTAAAAATGATCTAGTGCTCAAAACTAGTGAGTGACAGAACCAGAACTAGAATCCATGTCTTCCATGCCTTCTGGTTCCTGGTCCAGGATTTGTCACACTACATGGAACTCCCAAAGCAGAAAAAAAGGAGAGGGAGAACAAAAACTCCTTAAATTTTCCCCACCCTAATATTGTGGGTGAAAGAAAGTGAGTATTTCCAGGCCTTGCTCCCTGCTGTTTTCCTGTACCCTTAAATACTATTCCTGCCTCCAAGACTCCAAAGCGACGTCCCAACCAAGACTATAAATGTCTCTTGTCATGGCCTCAATAAGAGGAGCCCATGAGGAATGCCCAACGGCAGGGTCTTTCCTTTGGAGCCCTGTCAGCAGAGCAAGGACAGGGGGCACTGCCACCCTTTCTGACCTACACCACACTTCCCAGAGGAGAGACAGACAGGACGTTGGGTGTCCCAATCCCTTGGGCCCACGGGAAGCCCAATTTCACATCCATCCAGGCACCTCTTGCCCTTAAACTGTTGCTGAGTCCTATTCTGACCCAGCCAGGAACAAGCCACAGGAAGGAGAGCCATTCTGGGTGCAGACGGAGGAACAGGAGGCCAAGCCAATGGCTGATACTCCACAGACCCTGTAACCACACTGGTACCAAAGCCCAACAGTGGCTGGTGGCCATGTTGAATGCAACTTCTGAGTATTTTATTTTTGTTTTTTGCAAGCAGCATCAGCGCCATGACGCAGCAAAAGTTGAAAGCATGGAGGTAGAATTGCTCGCTCACCCGCCAAAGGGTGCCATTTGGTCCTTCGAGAGGTGGGACACCTTCCTCCGCAAGGTGCGAAGACAGGAGAGGAACTGAGGAAGACCGTGGGTCAGCTTCTCCCTGGGACAAGAGTAAGGGCAGCTCCAAGGCCCCACTGGTCCTGGGAATTCATGCTCACAAATTCAAGCCACAGAGAGAACAGCGGAGGGGTGTGTGGTGGGAAGGCAAGGCCTCCCAATCTATGGGTTGCAAGGGGCCACAGGTTGAACACAAGGAGACAGCACCACACACGCATGTGTGTGCGCACACATACACACACACACACACACACTATAGACATGCGGTTGTCATCCACCTCCCTGCGCAGACACATCAGAGGAAGAGTGGATTCTGAGGCAACGGCCACCAACCACAACCTGAAGAGCCTGGCGCAGGCCCAAAGCACAGCAGTCAATGCCTGGACACCTGCCTCGTCTACCATTCTCCCCCACAGTTGTGGGGAAAGTAGGAAGCAGTTATCCAGCCCCTTGGAGGTCAAGGATTGGAGCAGGGTATGAAGACAGAGCACACGTAAGTGGGCCAACCTCCCTCTCCATGAACTGCTGGTCCCCTGCGAGCAGTACCTCTTGGGTACAGAGAAAGTCACTTCTCTCAACAGAGCCTGATCAAACCCCAGTGAGAGCTCAGAGGCCAAGGGAGCTGGACACTGTCATCCCAAAAGCAAGGGCCCCTGCCCTTCACCCCCTCAGTTCTGGGAGGTCACAGCCAAGGTGTTGACATAGCCATGGGGCCCTCCCTCATTTTCAGAGATGCAGTGGCCCAGCTGGGAGCCTCCCTGAGGTGGTGGAGGTGGTGGCGGTGGTGGAGGGGCAGAGGGCGGAGCACTGTAGCCACCTCTGGCCCGACTGGGAGAGGTCCGGCTCCCCTGATCCCAGCAGCTCTCCAGGGCCTCCAGGCCGCGGCAGCCAAGGAAGAAGAAGTTCTTGAGCATGAAGATGGAGAGGGGCTGCTGGTAGCTCACCACCAGGAGGCAGCGCAGGGCCAGCAAGGGCACGTCCACCAGGCAGCCACCCAGAAGGCGCAGAAGGCGGCTGCAGCTGCCGGGCCCCGAGGCCTGGCGCCAGGACCAAGCGGAGGTGGCCGCGGCGTTCAGCTCGTAGAGCCAGAGCACCGGCGAGGCGAGGGTGAGAAAGTAGACGGCGATGAGCAGGTAGCGCAGGTGCGCGGGCAGCGGCACGCGGCCTTCCAGCATCAACTCCACCAGGGTGAAGCTGTCCAGCAGGTCCAGACATGTGCCCAGGAAGCAGCCTGCGGCACGGTGCTGCTGCGGCTGCAGGAGCAGGGGTCCCGCCGAACCCGGGGGCGCGCCCCCTTCGCTGATGGCCCGCACCAAGCTATAGAGTAGCGGCACCGACAGCGCCACGGTGAGGCGGAAGCCGGTGGTGCCGAAGGGCGCGCGCAGCTCGATGAGGTCCAGGATGGACGTGCCCAGGATGAGCACCACCTTAGGCGTGAAGGCGATGGAGTAGATGAGCCAGGCCAGGTAGGCGAAGGCGAACTCGCCCGCCGCCGCTGCCGCCCCCGCGCCGCTCCCCGAAACCCCTGCGCCTCCGCGGCCGCCGCGCCCCTTGGCTCCGGCTGCGGCCCCCGCGGAGGACGACGCGGCGGCGGGCAGGTGCAGGGGCGGCGCGGCGTGGTGGTGGTGCTGGTGGAGGCTGTGTGCGCCGCCAGCCGCGCCGCCCCGACGGCCCCGGCTGTTCTTGGCGAAGAAGATGGCCCAGCCCACCACCACCACCAGGTCGGTGGCGATCCAGGAGCACCAGTACAGGTCGGTGACTGCGATGAGGTACAGGTCCAGCAGCCCGCCCTGCGCCAGCAGCAGCACCACGGACAGTGCCTGGTAGCCCCAGCGGCACCCGGGGCCAGGCGCGCAGCCCCGGCGCCGACCCCTGCGAACAGGCCGGGCCGGGCGCCCGCAGCAGGAGCAGCACGAGCAGCAGGAGGCGGCGCTGCCGGTGCCCGCGCCGCCCGCGCCCCCAGCCGAGCGGCTCCCGGGGCCTCCGACGGCCGCAGCACCCTCGCCGAAGTCCGCCGCGGTCATGCTGCAGGAGGTGGGCGTGGAGGTGGAGGTGGAGGAGGACAGCGCGGCCGGTGCGGCGGGGGCGACGGCGGGGGCGCCCCCCTGCGCCGGGGGCCCCGGGAGCGCGGCGGCGGCGGCGGGCACCAACGGCTTGCTGATGCTCAGGCTCTCGTCGTCGTCCTCCCGCTCGGCGCCTGTGCTGCTGCTCGGGGAGCCGCCGCCGCCGCCGCCGCCGCCGCCGCCGCCGCCCCCGCCGCGTGTGCCGCCGCCGCCCCCCCGGCTGGTGCTGGTGCTGGTGCCGCTGTCGCCCGAGCCTCGCAGGAAGAGAGGCTGCTGCCGGGCGGCGGCCGGGGGCGGCGGGAAGGAGCCGGACGAGACGGAGACGGAGCGAGGGTGGCCGAGCGCCGGGTGCATTGTCCTCCTCGGGCTCCCTCCTCGCCAAGCGGCCGCGCGGAGCCCGGGCCAGCCGCCGCCTCCCCCCCAGCTGCTGGGACTCGGACCCGGGTCGGGCAGCCGCGAGATCCGGACTGGAGCCACGGGACTGGGCAAGCAGAGCCCGGGGCGGCTGCCGCCGAGGGCGGGCGCGGAGCGGAGCAGATCGCGCGGACCCGGCGAGGCGGGGCGGAGGCGGGGTGCGAGCCCCGCCGACTGGAGAGGGAGCTGGCGGCGGGGAAACCAGGACTGGATTCAAGGGGGAGAGGAGGCGAGACCAGAGAAGGAGAAAGCCTGGCTGGCTGGATCAGCAGGAGGAAAGGGAGGAGGGTGCGTGCTGAGGCCACGGGTCCGGATGGGAGTGCGCTGGGCCAGAAGGGTGAGAAGGCGCGGTAGCCTCTAGGACTTGCAGGGGCGAGGGTTGGAACGGCGGCAGCACAAAAGCGGGCCCAGCGTTCCTGAAGAAGTCGCTGAAGAGTTCCACCGGCCAATCCTCTGGAACATAAGTGGCTGTATGGTCTCACTGTGGACCGTGCGTCCATAAACCAGGCCCAGGCTACAGGTTCGGCTTCCACCCCGGATGAGCAGCTCTTCCCACAAGCAGCAGCTGGACAATCTACATCCATCCTCTGCCCTTCCAATGGGGCCCCATCCTTCCTCTCCATAAGGCACTGAAAAAGTGGAGGAGGATGGCACATGCATGAGTTCGAGACCAACCTGAGCCACAAAGTGAGCTCAAGGCTAGCCTGAAGTGCATAGTGAGACGCTGTCTCCAAACGACAATAAATAAAAAAATAAAAAACACACCAATTCGAAAAAAAAAAAAAGTGGAGGACGGTTGGGCCATACTGCTTTTAAAAAAGAAAAGAAAAACAGACATCTTCAGCCTTACATCTCCAGTTCTGCATATTCATGCACCCAGCACTGGGTTCAGAGCCATGAGGTTGGAGGAAGGACTCCCAGTTCCCAGTGGATAGAGACATTCTAGAGTGTACTCTCTTGAAAAGAGAAAAAAGGTACAGGGATTGGTCAATATGAACAGGGGGAGCTGTTCATATTCCTGAAAGGTTTTAGAGTAGGAACTGTAAATAATAGGAAGATGTATGCAGGAGAGAGAAAAATAAATGGCCATTAAGAGGTATGAGCATCTGGATGAAAACAAAGATTGAAAGAGGATGCTGATTAACATTACAACTGCCTGCAGCAGAGGAAAGAAGGCGGAGTGGGATGCAAAGTCAGCAGCCCTCACCGCCCCCCCAACACACACACCCCCACATCCCCACCCCCACCTCCATTCAGGAGCACATCTCAAGTCTCCCCATGGACTCAGTCTATGACCAGGCAGCTGTTCTGGAAGGCAGAAGGCAGAGATGTTGCCTTAGGGGGTGGGGGGAAGCAATGAAGCATTTGGGGCTGAAGAGGGATCTGGGACTCTTGTATAACCCATTCCCAGCACCCTTGCAGCTCTGCCTTCCTTTCCCACATCCTTCAGACCACAAGTTTCCTGCCCTGATTTCTTTGTCTTGAAGGTGCCGCTGGGCTCAGCTCTCTGGGTAACACAGAGCACCAGGAAGATGACATGGGGCCCTCATTGCCCAGCCCCTGCCCCTACATCTCCCCCTTGAAGAAAGATCAGTTTCAGTGAAAGGTGCCTTCTGCAGCCTCTGGGAGGCCACTGTGTACAGCTAATCCGTGGTAGATGTGAGATTTAGACTTCATGACCTACACTTTCCCCCTTTCCCCTGGCACAGACAGCCTTCAAAAAGCTCAGTGTCTAATCATGTAAAGCAGAGCAGGTGTTCAGGGCCAGAGCGTGAGCTCCAGAACCAGTGGTCCCTGCTCTGCCACTTACCGCCTGTGTAATCTTAGCCTTGTATTATACTGACCTGAGCCTCAGCTGACTGCTTTGTAAAATTTACCTTAACAGGTTGCTGTGAGTGACAGAAGATCATGTTGGTAGGGGGCTTAGCCCAGTCCTGTACTCAGTTAAAGGGAGCCAGGGCTACCAGACTCTACTCAGCTCTTGCCTTAGCTTCCCAGGGAGCATTTACACATCACATGGGTCACCAACAAAAGTTTTCAAGGCTGGGTTCCTTCCTGGTTCTGCTTCCTCGCTGCTTCGAGCTTAGTTCAGGATCAGATGTAGAGGTCCCTCATCCTGGCAGAGGGCTTCACCGGCTTCCCAGTGGAAGAGTTCAGTGTGGCAGCTGGTGCCAGGGCTCCCCACACAGGCAAGGATGGCAGGGCTGAACCAGCAGGTAAAAAAGCAGATTGGGGAACTGCCAACTGCTAATGGGAGTGATTACAGCCAGTCTCCCCCAGGGAAATACCAGCCAACAGCTAACGTGGAAGCTGGCTGGAGACGCCTGCTCAAGTCAGTAATCAGCTGAAGAAGGAAAGCAGCCGATAAAGGCAAAAAGCTTGGACTCTGGAGAGCACAGGAAGAACCCGTCTCCATAGTCACCCCTCCTGTCCTCCTTGCACACACTCTGCTCCAGCTGGCTCTCAAAGACACCTGTCAGCCTGAACCTCCCACACAGGGAACTTCCTGGCTGGTCACTGCGTGTCCACAGTCCTTGGAAGTTACCCTGTGAATTTCAAGGAAATGTACCAGCAATCAGTTAGATTAATTGTCTTAGAAATTCTTTAGCCAAACTGCCTTCAGGCCTGAGACTCTGAATAACAAGATAGCAGTGATCAGGAAGAGAAGTACAGATAGGCTGTGGAGTAAGTTAGGGGCTTGTGAACTGATGAGGTTTTCTCCTTACCCTGTCCAGTCATGCACACACACACAGACAGACACAGAGAGAGATGCACACACATGCACACAGAGCCTTTGTGGTGATAAAAAGAAGAAAGACAAAAATATGTTCTCATATATAAAGTAATCATAAGCATTGCATGAGGATCTAGAAAAGGAAAGAAGTAATCAGCAAGTCCCCATCAGCACACAGAATCTATGTTGGGTGCCTTATATGTAATACCTGGGAATACACAGCTAGTTAAGGGCAGAATTAGGGTTATGCCTTCTGACCTCAATCTATTGGCTTCACCAGCTGCCAACTCCATTTCACACACCCAAACAGCAGCAGCTCCAAGGCATCCAGGGAGACAGGGACAAACTAAACAGGTTTCCATCAAAAACTACTTCCCTAAGTACCTACTAAGTGCCAGGCACTGGACTAAGCCCTCTGGTGACCTAACATTCTTATCCTCCTGAAACTGCAAGGCCAGTGGCTCACTACCTTCCTGAAGCCACAGGAGATGACAGGAGTAAGGACAGAGGAGCCTCGAGGAGCAAGGCCAGCCTTTCCTGAGCCCAAGGCAGGGCTGTGCCTTCCTACCTGCTCTCTGCTCACTGCCTCCCACTTTCAGAGGAAAGAATGGCCATGTGCTCAGGGAGCTGTCAGAGGCTGTGTGAAGCCCACAGATGCTCCTTGTGGGAACATAAAATGAGAAAAGATGCAAGCAGAGTCCTGTGGTTCTCATTACCCACACACCGCTGCTCAGAAACAAGGAAGCTAGCAGGGGCCATGGCTGAAGCCAGGGGAGTCTGCGCAACTTTGGCTTGTGAGTATCCTTAAGCCTCAAAACTACTCCGAGGATAGATGCTGCTTCTGCTGAGAGCTGTCCCGCGGAGGTCTCCTGGTGATGCTACCACCCTCTGGGACAAACAAGAGACACATGGCGTCTCCCTAAGTCGGTCCCTGAGTTAGCTGCTAGGGTTCTGGGGGGGCAGGAGGGAGCAAGCAAGTTCTTCATAAGAGGGATTTGAAGGACAATAATGAAACATAATAAAGCTTTATAAATGACCAGATTCTATACAGGACCCAGAACAGGTACAGAACTGCAGTGGGTCAGTAAAGCCTTCACAGATGAGAACTGGTCTAACAGGTAAGCAGATGTTGGAGGGCAGATGCAGGGCACGGACACAGAAGCCAGCTGAACAAAGGAGTAGGTATGGAGTCACAGGCCTCTACAGAATTACTAAACCTTGGCCCAGGTTCAATATGAAGGACAAGGAGCCAGTGCAAAGGAAGACAAGGCTGAGGCCAGGTCGCAGTGTGCTTCTGCGCCCGACTGAGCTTGGACTATCCTAGAAGGGAGAGGAGAACTCTTGAGAGCGGAGTTGTGAGTGGAAACAGCTCTGCATCCTAGCAGGACTGCTTCGCACTGGATAGGATGGGTTGGGAGGAGAGAAAAATGGAGGCACGGAAACTGTATTCTAGATCTGGTGATCATGTTAACTAAACAACATAAAAATTTCCAGTTTACTCTCCCACCCCACCCCAAAAGACTAAATAAAATACAGCCCCCTTTCCAATGCAATTACTTTCACAAGAAAGCAAGGAAATTATTGAAGGCATTAAATGAAGAGGGAACTAAAAACCCGAATGGTAAATGAACAAAAGGCATTGTCAAACCTTCAGCTAGGTCGTCCTTGTCAGGAAACCACACCATGGAATGCGGTGAAGACCGTCCACATATGGCTGTATAAATTTTTGCTAAATTAGTATTCATTTAAATGTACGTTTGGAAGTCTCACCAGCCACATTTCAAGTGCTCTATTGCCCCATTTGGGCAGCACAGATTCAGAGTGTCTACCGCTGTGGCATGTCCTGTTGTACATTGTTAATGGAGACTCGGGTAACAGCCGGCCAGAGACCAGTGACATGGTTTTGGACCTAACTGAAGAGTGTGCTGAGTTCCCTTCACAAAACCATGACCCTCAGTGAAAGGGTGGACAGAGAAACAAGTCTACCACCAAAACAAGGAGACCACATGGAATTCTGCCCAGCTGAGGGTAACCATGAAACAAATGAAATATGTCTCCTGGGAAATCACAATGATGCGCTTGGATTATGTATAGGTTTGAAATTTGAACAATGTCAAAATGAAGCGATAACATGACCACTGGTCCATTGGTTGGTAGTATGTCGATGTCCGCTCCCGGCCGGCAGGAAGGACACACGACACAGTCTGGTAGTGGACAACCTTTTCTTTTTATTCTTCTTCTCCGTACAGCCTGCCCTGGGTTCTCCCAGCTGAAGCCTCCTTTGGTCCGCTCTCCGCGGCTCCTCTTGTGCTTCAGTCTGCCCCGAAGCCTCTATCGGTCCGCTCTCTGCGG